CTCTTCTTCTAGACTGAAACACAGACATAATGCCTGGAGCTGCAGCAGCCAACTAGGTACCATGAGGAGGAAAGCCTCAGCAAGGCAGAACAAGAAGAAAGGTCATGGTCTCCCAGGCAGCTGCACCAGGTCTGGATGGGACCTTCAGATTCTTATTCCAGGAGAATAATTAACCCCTATCTGTTGAAGTCTTAGTCAGTTTTTCTATTTCCATTTCTAACTGATAAAATTTCTATCTACAATACTGGAATCTTCAAGGGAAAAGACTATTTCTTACTTATATTTGTACTTTCAGTGGCTGGCAGAATGCCTGGCACTGAGTAAATGCTCCAAATTTTTGAATTTGAACTGAATGTTGTCACTGTCTTTAAAATGTTCCAAATGGCTCCTCGTTATCCTGAGAAAGCCATTCAGCCTGGTTGTCTGGGCTTTCAGGGTCTGTAGAGACCCCTTCAGGCCCATGCAACCATATTTCTCCTACACACAGCTCCAGCCACATCAAGTGAGGGCCCTTTAATGGACAGACCCTATATTTTCCCGTGTTCATGCCTTTATTCCCCACCCCTAGTTGGAAAGCTTACCTTTGCACCCCCAGGAAGATTTCCCCTCTCCCTTCTCTGTTACTAAACTCCATTGCCTGGTTTGCATTTAAAACATCTACTTTATCTTGAAGGCATCAGTTTGTCTGTTTCACCACTAGATGTGAACCCCTGGAAGACAAGGCCTGGCCTCAATCTGGTCTTTGGGTTTCCCATAGCACAGCATCACACAGAGCAATTTTGTTAAATAAAACTGGACCAGAGTCTGAATAGCAGACTGGAAAGAGTAAAGACTGGAACTGGAAGAACATGTGCAAAACCCACATCACTGGGTACTTGTGAGACCTCAAGCAGGTCATTCATCTCTTCTAGTCCTTGATGACCTCATCTATAAAATGGGGACAATAATAACTGACCTGAAACCTGGTCAATATGGTAGGTATTTGGTAAATGTCAGGTAGAGAGACAGGATCAAGTGTAAAAAGTTTTTTTTGCCTTCCTTTCTTCTCCAATTTTCACCTGAGCTGGCCCGCTGATCATAAAAAGGAAAATTCCTACTCAACACTGGAAGCTGAGAAGAAGTCTCACTCATCTGGGTCCCACCCTATGTTCTGTGTACTGATGACAAGAGTGACAGGGAAGGAACAGCTCATGGGTCTGCTTCCCTGCTGTGAGTGGCCAGGCCTGGATGGAGCTCATTGGCATTCCCATCCCATTCTTGGCACTCAGGATGAAGCCCCAGCTAGATGCTGCAGATGCCACCTGGGTTCAAGGGAAGAGTCCATCTGACTGCCTATTTATGACAGGTACACCTAAGGGTGAGCCTGACCACAGGTTCCTGAAGCCACCTACTCTCCTAAAAAGGGAACTCTTAAAAAGGGACAATCCTTGCCCAACTTGATAGAGTGAACCTGGCTACAGATCATCTGGTGACCCCCAGTGGGTTGGGGCTGAGACTGGGGCAGGGTAGGAAGAGATACATGAAAATCTTTTCCTGCCTGTGCCTCATGGGCTGGCCTGCTACCTAGCCCACATCTCTTCCCACCTGGCATGCCTGCTCCCACCACAGCACAGCACCCACCACCTGGAGCCCTTAGGGGACCCCAGCCTGCTGTACTTAGAGATGCCCTGTAAAATGGACAACCATCTATCCAGCTCCTGGTGGGAATTCTCATCACTTGGGAATTACATATCAGCCATGTCCTAAGTGCTTTTACATATGTTCACTCACCTAAATCTGCATAGCAGCCTTGTGGAGAGTACTAACTTTGATCACCCTGTTACAGGTAAGAAAACTGAGGCACATAGGGTTTAACGAGCACCCCAAGCAGCACTGCTAGTAAGTGTCTAGTAGGTTGGTATCAGAGTCCAGTTTTTAGCTATGACTTGATACTGAATAGACAATAAAACTTGTGAGACATAAAGAATCTAGCTGAATAATCAAACCAAATGGCCCAACTACAAAATGCAGTTGACGCAGGGAAAAACAGATGACATTGTAAAGCAAACATAAATCGTATTCTCAGAGAGATGCAAAATGATAACATGTTGATAAAAACAAAAGTGGGCTGTCAAGAGCAGGCTGGAAACAAAAAAAATGGAGTTTCCTTGAAATAAAAACAAAAACAAGATTTCCAGAATAAAGAATGAGTAAATAACAGGATAATTACTGTTGAAAACATCGGATCATTGGCAGAATAAAAACAGGGCATAGAACTTTCAAATCACTAGAAGAAAAACAAAGCCAATTAAATCAGATTAGCTAACAATGAGAAGAGTTAAAGATAAAAGAAAGCAATAGAGTAGCATAATATATCTTATTTGAAAGAAAGCATAATACATTTAGAACCCTGCACTCTTCAGATTCTAAATATCCATGGAACATAAATAAAACAAAAAATGTGAAGAAGTAAAAAAGGCACAAAGCAGTAAAAACAAAAATAATAAAAAAGATCATATAAAATATATAATAAACTTATATATTTTAACTTTCAAAATATCTTAAGTATCCTTAGGTTTAAAAGAAATCTAAACAAATTACAGATAATTTAGAAATGCGTCCAGTTGAACACTCTATATGAAAAAGACAAATTCTCCAAAAGAAGAATACACAAAGAATTGGAGTCAGCAAAGACAATTAAATATTCTGTTGTCCGTCAAACTGGTAAAGATCAAAAGGATTGACAACATCTAGCAATGTTGTGCCAGGAAGCAGCCCTTCCCATAGACTTTGAGTAGACTTGTAAATTGCTATAGTATCTAGAGGAAAATTTGAGGTCATGTATCAAAATGTGCTTAATCTTAAGAATATATCCTCCTTGGGAGGCTGAGGTGAGTGGATTGCCTGAGCCCGCGGGTTCAGGACCCGCCTGAGCAACTTGGCGAGACCTCATCTCTGCAATAAATCAAAAATTAGCTGGGCGTGGTAGCGTGCACCTGTAATTCCAGCTACTTGGAAGGCTGAGGTGGAAGGATTGCCGGAGCCCAGCAGGTCGAGGCTGTGGTGGCCGGGAGCGGCCACTGTATTCCAG